CTGCTTCCTGCTTTTGTTGGGTGAAGTAATTTTTGGGGGTGTTCATGGCAGTCTTTTGGGGAGTCTTAGTCCACCAAACCACATTAGTCTGAAGCAGCTCCACAGGTTCTCATCCTCCAAGGAAACAAAAGCAGAACCTCTTTTCCAAAGCAACAAATCCTTAGACCCGAATTCTGAAGTCAAGATACCGTTATGTTGGTTTAATTTAGCAGTCCATACAATGAAATGTCTCTTGTTATGTAGCTCTTTAACAATCAAAAAATTCAAAGAAAACACAATAATATACATAATCCAGACTCTGTGTATATTCCATCTTTACATGGCTTATTTTTTTACTCTATTACTTTTTCTATAACTTTAATATTTAGTTATTTTTACTCCTTTAATCTATGATTGTCTGTACTCTGTTATATTACATTTACTGTCTCTTTACTCTTTCTTTCTCTCTCCCAAGTCTATGCACATTTTTTGAACACACTATGTCTCATTTAGAAGTTTTTTTTTCTAAATGTTTGAATCTATCCTATTGTGCAGCTGTGATCCTTTTCTGTCCTGGAGAGCTTTTAAAATGGTAAGAAGCTTGGCTGCCTTCCTGGAGAGATACCATATCCGTTAACCCATCGTAACTTTTCAATAGATTCTGATTATTAAATTCAACACTGTAAACTTTTTCATATAATTTCTCAGCACCCTTTGACCTGGAGAGAATTTTGTCTGTCAAATTAATGTTATCCTTTTCAATGGTATTAATTTTTTCAGCTAACAGTTCATTATTAGTCTATAAAGACTATTGGGGCTGGAGAGATGGCTCAGCGGTTAAGAGCATTGCCTGCTCTTCCAAACGTCCTAAGTTCAATTCCCAGCAACCACACGGTGGCTCACAACCATCTGTAATGAGGTCTGGTGCCCTCTTCTGGCCTGTAGGCATACACACAGAAAGAATATTGTATACATAATAAATAAATTTTAAAAAAGAAAAAAAAATTTTAAAAAAAGACTGTATCATTTCTACAAGTGCCTCATTCTTGGCTCTGTTATAATATTTCTTTAAGATATAATTTGAAAAATAAATTAATTTCCAAAATCAAATAAATGGATGTATAAGGAAAATCACACAAGCCTTGCAGAAGACCATCCATATTGTAAGCAAAATGGTTATTAAATTCCTGGATGTGTATTCAGAGCTCAGGGTAAGGCTAGCTGCTACAAGCCGCAACATTATACAGCAATTGCTCAGCCATCTTTTCATGAGCAACGGATCAAAGCCAAGGGATCTGGTAAAGGCTAAACCAAAAGGCAAGGCTTCTTGGCGTTCCTGCTTTGTCAATAAAGTGACCTCCCTTTGCTGTAGAATTTTCGCGGTAGCTGACTTCCCTTCTGCTACGTATTTGGGAATTAATTCCCAGAGTTCAGATCTGTTTCCCACTACCAGGCCTTGTTCCTCTCTTCTAGGTGAACACAGAGATCTGCCTTCCTGCAATTATCTTTATCAGCAGCATTTGGTCAGTGCTTAGGGCCCAGACGTAGAGCATTACCCGCCCAAGCTGCTGCTCTGGCTTTACCTCACTCAGAAGATTCCTGACTCCTTATGTTCATGTGCACTCCAGGTTACTGATAGCTTTAGTTCAGGACTCTCAAGGACAGCAGGAGGGATAATTAACTGCGACCCAGAGAAAGACAACACCCACGAACAAAACGGCTGAAGACAGCATAGCTCGGAACTGAGAATCGAGAGGCCTGGGTCTCTTCTTCACTTAGAGCAGCAAGTCTAACTCCAGACCTAGATCTGCAGAAACTGCAGCGTCCAGTGTCTGTGCTATCTGAGCTGGAGCCATGGCTTCTCCCTGACTGTTTACATAGGTTGCCTAGTAACCGGGTAGTCTCTATGCATACTGGGACAAAAGAAGCGGCACGCTGATTTAAAATGCAATTTGTGCCCTATTCATACTTTTGCTGAAAATAAATCTTTTAACCTTTTATCTATCACCTAAAAATGTGGAATTCCCTGATGAGTTAATAGAATCCCCTGGTGATTTAATCCCTTTCTTAACTAACTTTCTCCACTAAGGAGTTCACTGGAGGTGTACTAGCCACTCCCATAGCTCTCTCCCTCCCTGTGTGTGTGTGTGTGTGTGTGTGTGTGTATGTGTGTGTGTGTGTGTGTGTGTGTGTGTATGTGTGTGTGTGTATGTGTGTATGTATGTGTGTATGTGTGTGTGTGTATGTGTGTGTGTATGTGTGTGTGTGTGTGTGTGTGTGAAAACCCTTATCTGATTTTCTATGGAGCAAAAGATTTCTGGCGCTGGAGCCTGCCAGGGCTGGGAACTGCTGGATTTAAGGGTATATGTGACCGGGAACATTTGTAACAATGCAGGACAAGAATAAGTAACCATGAGAAGTGATGGACTGGAGCGAGAAGAACAAGGAAACACGGACGGACGATTTCTGCTGAGTAGATTTTGTACCCCTCAGATCTTTGCCCTCAGATTTCCAGACCCCCTTTAGCTATCAGTGTCATCCTCAACTGAATCCTGAAAGGGAGTCTGAAAGACAAAAACTTTCAAGGCTCTCTAAAGCTAGCCCATCCATATCCAGGCCAAAGGCTGTGTATTCAGAGCTCAGGGTAAGAGCCACCCATATCCAGGCTAAACTTACATGAAATTTAAATGAAATTCAATTGGGTGGGTGCTCTATTTTTACTTACTACATCTGGCAACTTTGCATGGTACCTTCTGCCTTCAATCATGACAGTCATTTAAGAATCTTTTCCCCAAGCAAGGCTTGGTGTGGCATGCCTTTTATGCTAGCACTCAGGGTTAGGAGGATCTCTGAGCTCCAGACCAGCATGGTCCACAGTCAATTCTGGGCCAGCCAGGACTGCACAGTGAGACCTTTATCTCCACCAAAGAAACAAATGCACGACAGACAGTGGTGGCATACTCCTTTATCCCAGCACTCAGGAGGCAGAGCAGGTGGACCTCTGAGTTTGAGGACAGCCTGGTCTACAGAGTGAGTTCCAGGACAGTCAGGCCTACAGAGAAACCCTGCCTCAAAACAAACAAACAAGAAAAAACCAACACAAACCAGAGGATAAACAACCCTTTTCTTATATAGCAGTCAGTTGGGCCCAAATAGGTGACTTTTCTCCCTCTAGTGGCGAATGCCGTTAATGCATGGACTTTCTGTGACCACGCATTAACACTCGCCGCCAAAAGCCAGCAGGGAAGTCTCCCACAGTAGCTGTAAAAAGACGGGGAGAAGAAAAGGATCTTTATTTCCCGGGCCCGCCTTGGAAGAAGACGTTCTGTGCAATGCTATGGATGCTCTTTCCAGGAAGCACGCTACACAAAACTGCAGGTCAGACACGTGCAAAGCTGACTTCGACATGCGAACGTGGAGCGGCTCTTAGGAAGAGTGTACAGAGGATGCTGGACCTGCATACCAAAGCAGCGCTGTCTCTGTGTAAGTCAGATCCTCGAATACTAAAAAGCACGATGAGACTGGGGAGGGCGTACAGCAACAACAACAACGTCTTCACTTTCTGCCAGGAGCACACAATTGCTCTCTCCTCTCTTCTTCCATGATGGATCCAGAAAACTTAGGGTGTGTGTGTGTGTCTGTGTGTGTGTTCACGGTAAGTAACATCTAACTTCTAGCAGCCACGGGGCAGTGTTTTCAGCTCCCCTCCTCTTCCCAATTTGCCCCTCCCCACCAAAAGCCAGGGTATCAACCCTGCCAATGTCCTTCATTTCCATCATTAGCTCCTTGCAGAATGTCCTCTGCAGACGCAGGTTGAGGGGGCAGGCACAGGCAGGGCTCTCGTAGATGGAGAAGATACTGTTCTCCTGTTAATATGCCCAGTCCATCGCCCACACGCACATGTATTTATGCTGCCCTCAGGACTGATAATTGTGTGGTCATCCTAAGCCCAGGAAAAGTTGTAGGAAAAGCTGACAGTGTTCTGGGAGCCGTCTCGGGCAAGGGGCATGAACAGTGGGCACACACCGCGAACGCCTAACAGAAAAGTTAGGCTTTGCTGTTTACGCTCAACCCTAGCCCTGGGGTAGACAGGAGGATCTCCAGAGCTCACTGCTCAACCACCCCAGCCGGAACCCTGAGCTTCCTCTTCACAGGGAGATCCTATCTCAAGTCTCACTCAGACCTCCACACTTGTGACACCTGCGTGTTCACACTAATGCACAAGTGTGTGCTCACCTGCAGCACAGACACAGAGGAGAGGGGAGGGCTGGGATATCTCTGTGTAGCCTTGGCTGTCCTGGGACTCTGTAGACCAGGTTGGCCTGGAATTCAAGAGATCCGCCTGCCTCTGCCTCTTGAGTGCTGTGATTAAAGGCACGTGCCACCACTGCCCAGGGGGTTTTGGATGTAATGAATTAAAACATTCCCTACTGGAGAGATAAGGGAAGCTTCCAAAATTTCGTAAGTGAGGAACTCTTCCAAGGCTCAGGAAGTCATGGGATCAGAGAGCCCTTCTTGAGGTGATGAAAGCAGGGAACTGTTGCTCAGGAAGAGGGGACTCCCAGGAGAGCTGCCGACAGGGGGCGCCAAGCTACAGCTTTCCAGTCCTCAGCAGAGCTGCAGGGCAGCGTTCTCAACCTTCCTAACGCTGGGACCCTTTAGTACAGTTCCTCATGGTGTGGAGAACCCCAACCATAACATTATTCCACTGATGTTTCATAACTGTAATCTTGGTGTTATGAATGGTAAACCCAGGGTACCCGGTATCAGACCCCTGTGAAAATGCTTACTGAAAAAGGTTGCGACCCACAGGCTGAGAACCGCGGACTTGTATGGCACCCTCTCTTTGCTCTGTTGTTGGTGCCCGACCCTGGGCGGTGACGTTTCTTCCTTTTCACCTAGGAAGAGTCAGGCCACAGCCAGTGATCTGAGCACTTGGGAGCTGAGGCAGCAGCACCGCCAATCAATCAAAGCCTGCAGGCAATAGAATCTGTCACTACCACTAAGTAACAGGACACTTCTTAGGAATAAAGATAAATTTATTATTTCCTCCACTGCGAGGAAGGAAACTGACAAACACGAGCTGTGTTCACCCTCCGAGGCTCCCGAGTTGGAGCAGAAGGGACCTCAGGACACGGGAGATGGAGGGACGGGTGACACAGACACTGGCGAGGTGAGCAGTCTGGATCCAGGCAGCCAGAGGGCAGCAGTCCTGCACAGCTCACCTCATGACGCCATGTGCAGGGCCGCTGCCCACAGGACACCGTCCGCAGTGTCCTGCTGCTGGGAATGTCTTTGGAGGACATCGTCTCAACACCCCTGGCACACAGAAGCCAAGTTCAAAGTAGCACCCACCAAAACCCTGAGTTTTGGCTCCAGTACTTGTTCTGTAAAACCACGGCGGCAGCAAACCCTCAGGCAGACAGACAAAAGGATAAGACGTCTGTGCCGAGTACCACACTATGATGGGGCTGGGGCACAGTGGGGAACTTGGTCCCTGAACGTGAAGCTTCTGCACTAGAGGGGAGACAGACACCGAAGGAACAATGCAGGCCAGGTACAAGAGGCTACACTGGCGGTGGGAGGCTTTGGTAACACTTGACCCCAGGGCCCAGGAGAAATACAAGGTTATCTGAAGTATCATAGCCTTCTGGGCTCTGTACTTTTTCTACATATGTACATACATGTATCCACACCTGTAAATACTCATACAGCGGGCCCTTGATATGTTGCTCGGGCAGGCCCTGCATTCGTAGGCAGCTGGGAAAGGAATACACCGGGGACCGTTAGATGACCTGCCTACAACAGACACTCATGAGCAGCAATGTAAAGTTAGCTACAGGCACCCGCAGACGGCGGTACACAATCAATTCTTCCTTTGCCTTAGTATTTGACACTGTTTCTTTTTAGGTACACGGATGCTGAGACGGGGTCCCTGAATACTGCTGGATGGGAGAGGTCAGCTTGGTTTACAAAGGAACACAGAAAAGCTACATACGATTCCACTTCTGTCTGCTGCCGGCATCTTCTGCTCCCACAAGTGCTAGACTACCTACCTACTAGGCTGAAACGCCAACTCCTCGGATTGGAGAGCTCCCCTCTCCACTGTTTCAGCCCCTTCTGAGTTCTAGTCAGCAACACTGCTGTGGCAGGTTAGGGGTTAGGAAGTGCCAGTGCAGACGACAGCACCTTTGAGACACCAAGGAGCTATGGCAGTATTAAAAAGCTGAATGTTCTGGATTTCTTCTAGAAAATGAACAGGGGGAGAACACCCGATGGCATACGCAGCAACGGGCCACCGCTGTGGCACAAGACAGCACCCTGGGACTTCAGCTGGCAGCAGAAATGGGTGGCCACCTTCAGTTAGGCCTGTCTCTTCACAGACGAAGGTCTAACACTCCAGACCCTGCCCCTCCGCATCAGTGGTGGAGAGCTGCCGCATTTTGCAGGCCTGGGCTCTGAAGATGCTCCTCCTTTCCCAAGGAGCAGCGGCCCTCTCTCAGGTCCCAGGAGGACAAAGGCATGTTCCTCGGCCTTCCCACATGGAACTCTGAAAGAGCCCACTGTGGGCAGACGCAGTCCTACGGCCTGAGCCCTTGGCTGCTCTCACTCCCGGTACCTTCCTCTTCGTTAGAGTAGTTCCCCGAGTCCTGGCTGGTCTGGAAACTGTACTTTCTGTGATCTTCCTCAGGTGCACCGTTTTCTTCTGCTACAGTAGCCAGGCCTGCGCTCTCGATGATGAAGCACTTCTCGGTGTGCTCCTCAGGAGTCAAAAGCAGAAGGTTTTTCGAAGGCGGCTCAGAGAAAAGCTAAGGATGAAGAAAGAAGGGAACACAGGTTTTTAAAACAAAGACTGATGTTCTAGCTCTAATGTCTTTGCTTTCCTATGCCCAACATTAGCAGACCTACCTTTTAGCGTGTGCATTCCAACAGATTAGCTAAACCCAGTCATGCATATACGGCATTTTTTGGGCAAGTCTGAGAACGCTTAGACAGACACTGTGCTGTCAAAGGCTGGGGTGGGAGCGGGCACTAGGATCACAGACATTTTGAAGGAGCAGCATCCAGCTGCTGGCACTCGAAAGCCCAAGGGAGACGTGAACATCTTCCTGGCAGTCTGGCTGGTAAGGAGCCACTTCCGCTTACGGCACGGCTGTCACCAGCAGAGCACAAAGAGGGATTTAAAATGCCGGCACGCAGGAGGCTGGGTGCTGAGCTCTGAGGGCATCACGCCTGTCACGGCGTAGGTCCTTCTTCCTTACAACTCGGGCACCGGGGAATCCTGGTGCAGACTTGCAGGGGTCCCTGGAGCTCTATCCAAAGCCTGACCTCTCAAGGCCAGCCTGCCCTGCCCTGGGTCCCAGGGTCTAGGACGAGCCCTCCCTCACTCAGTGCTGTGACTGCAGGTGCTAACCTCACAGGAGTCCTGAGCCATTCAGTGGTTTCGGTTTCACCCGTGACCTAACCCAGGGGACCAGGTTAAGACAGATGGATAACAGGGTAACAGTGTTTCTCATACGGTGTGGAAAACCACACAGGGGGAAGCAGAAAGACAAATGCCGCACGAGGCCAGGGACAAGTCATTATTCCAACTGTAACATACATTTCACTAGCAAATGGTCAGGTGCCACTGACGGCTGACTATGGGAAGAAGGTAGCCTCACACATGCTGGCTCATCTCCAGTGTCCTACAGGACTGACGGTCATGCAGCAAGCTAGTCCCTCACCCTGTGACAAGGACATAGGAGAAGAGCAAGATGGCACACCAAGGTGGCTGTGCTGGGAACAGGAAGTTGGAAACCTGTCCCGATTCCAGGAAGACTGTGAGGGTATCTTACATGTACTCATTTGGAATCAGAATGCAGCAGAACAGCAAGTACGCAGTAAGCCATTGTTTCTAAACATTTTCCTTTCCTTCCTTCCTTCCTTTTTTTTTCTTTTTTGAGACAGGGTTTCACCGTATGGCCCTGCCTGACCCTGAATTCAGAGATCTACCTGCCTCCTAAGTGCCGAGGTTAAAGCTGATGACAGCACGCTTGGTTTGTGCCGGGGTCTCTCTGAAGCTCTAGCTGGCCTGGAGCTTCTGAAAACCTCCTGTCTTGTTTTTTGGAGATAGAATCTGACTACTCAGCTCACGCTGGCCTCAAACTCATTGCAATCCTCCTGTCTTAGCTTCCTGAGTTTTACAGGCATGCACTACCATACCAGGCGTCCAACATCACCAGAATTCTGAAGAAAAAAAAAACACATCAGCCCAGATTTCTTTCTGGACAGATCATCTGCTGAATCCAAATACTTGCTTCCCAATTCCTAGCTGGTGACAAGAAGAGAAACTTACCTCATGGATACTTGGGGGAGGCTTGGGTGATGAAAAGGCATGGCTGAGGTCTTTCAGGACGTTCTTCCCAGCACAAAAGACCAGGGCAGAAAAAAACAGAATGCCAAGTCCAATCACGGCCCAGAGTACAGGAGAATTTCCTAAAACACACAAGGACGTGCACGTAAACACACGAGACAGTCAGAGGAGAGGAACGAGTGTCCGAGAACCTTTGGCTGGCACTCAATACACTACTGTGGGCAGTGGCAGCCACACTTGACGACTGCCCTGAGAAACGACCCTGGGATCAAGAGGAGAACCATATGAACAGAGCGGTCTCATCAGCTGGGGTCCCCAGCACCCGCACAGTCACAGTGCTCGGTGGCTAAGCCAGTCGTCTCCAGGAACTAAAATACAAAGGAGACTGAGGCCTGGACACATGAAAACCTTCACAAAAACGTCTATTTTCACAAGTTATTAAAGACTAGAAAATGGAACACTACCAGTGAGTGACCTGGCTGTTTGTCAGCGAGCAAGAACTGAAGGCGGTTATCACTGTGTGAGCACGGCTGTGTGAGCAAGGACTGAAGGTGGTTATCACTGTGTGAACATTGCAGTGTGAGCAAGGACAAGCAGTGACTGTCTGCGTGCTGAGTGAAACAGAGTGACAGGAACTGGGAGACTGAGTGTCCCTGGCCTCGGAGGACTTGCTGGGTTCACTTTTGATTCCTGGGGCTGAAGAAGGACATTTTCTGCCACTGGAAGCAAAGGCGAAATTCTCCACCAATCCCAATGCAGTACTTTATCAACCCGAGCTCCATTCAAAACATCTAGAAGATGCTCACCTGCCCCTGTTTTCTCACACTGCCTGTCACTGAAGTTGCTGCTCTTGTTCCACGAGGCAAAGGAGTGTACTCTCGCTTCCACGCAATACACAGTCAGCGGCTGCAGGTTCATAATGGTGAACTTTGGGCTTTTCTGCACCTTTTTTCTCTATAACAATAATAAAATAAGTGATGAAACTTAGTCGCTTCGTAAAATCTGATAGGGAATATGCATTTTCTGGATTTCTTTTCTATTCATGATTGGTCTCTTCCAAACACTTGGCTGGTATGTAGCCTAAGCAATATAAAGTCACTAAATCACCCATCATAACCAAATTAGTTAAAAATCTGTCACTAAAAAAAAGCGTATGATGCCTCCTCAGGCAATTTTCATTTTAATTGCCCCTGCTGCATACTGGTGGGGACAGTTAAGAGTAAGGGCTCCGGCTGCTGCTGTCCCCTGCTGTCCCCAGTAAATCACCATGCACGCTGCACTGCCTGGTGACGTCCACTCACTGGAACCTTATTTCCCGATCCTTGAGGGAGAACCTGTCATTGCTGTTTGCACTGGTCAGCCCATGCTACAACCGTGCTGGGTAACAAAGCCATTTCAACACTTGGCAGCTCAAAATGTGTTTTCTCATTAGGCCACAAACTGGCTAGGGTAGTTCCCTCTAAGGCCTGACCCGCCAGTCTCATCCTGTGTCCCAGAGACCACGTGGCACACACATCCTCCTGGCGCACAGGTCAAGCACACGGGCCAGACTACGCCATCAGGCATGCTTGGGCTTCTGTTCTGAGCATGTGCACTCAGCCTTCAGCATCAGTGAGCAGAGCTCACCAGTATCTGATGCGCAAACTAACTGCAAATACTGTTTTTGGAAGGAAACGGGGCAGGTGATATAAAGCCTAGCACAAGTCCGGCGATGAGCGGCTGCGTGGGACAGCACAGCCACTGAGGCGCCCGAGTCTGCGCCAGGTGTTTCAGATGCCGCCTCATTTCAAACCTGACAAACACCTGCGAGCACCAAGTTGCTAGGGCTACCAAGTGCTTCAGAGAAGAACAGCTCAGTATAATGTCTGCTGGACTGGTGAACGCTGAGGCTAATTCTCGGAGTTAAATGACGCTACAGTTAGCATAGGCAGACGGCTGGAGCGGAAGCAGACGGAGCTTTGGGATTTGTTTACACGCAACCAAACATGAAGAGACAGCATTTACTGTCTCAGCTGCCCCAGACTGTTATGCTTGATTCTTTGACTGGATTCCACCAGGGCTCATGGCATGGGCTGGGCGGGCTCTGCCGAATGACTGGCTCAGAGCAGCACTGAATGAAGTCCATCCCGTTATTATTCCGTGAGAAGGCGTGTTAGCTGGTGCTCTCACCACAGCTGAAGCCGACCTCTGGAGGCGTTCTCTCCTGTGGAGTCCACAGAACTCATCATGCACACAGCTCTGTCTCCCCGGAGCTGCCAGCTGAGGACATGTGACAGCGTCTGGAGATCTTTGGTTGACATGCCTCTGAGGGAGCGCTACGGGCACCTGGTAGAAACCGTGATGTTCCGTATCCACTGATATGGGCGGCTTTACCACAAGGAATTCCCGGGCACAACTGTCATTCTTATAAAGGAACCTTAGTTTAGGACAGTGCTGGGAATCATGGTAAAATGGTTCTAATGCCATAGCAATAGACTCAAGCTATGGTTCAAAAGCAAACTCGAGGGTTAGCAAGATGGCCCAGTGGGTAATCCTGGGCTTCCTGAGAAGCCCGACCACCAGTTTAACCCCTGGGAGGTATAAGATGGGATCGCTTCCACAACCTGCCCTAGAAGTTCACGTGTGCCCTAGGATACACACAAAATAAACAGGCAATTGTACACATGTGCGTGTGCACACACACACACACGCACATGCATGTTGTGGAATAGAGTATTTAATTAGGTAAAGATGTGCTGCATTTCTTTATGCAGCATTTGCTGAACTATGTAAAGACGTGTGGCTCTCTCATCTTGCCTGCCCAGGGCACCTGGCTGGTCTAATAAAAAGCGCAATGGCCAATAGCTAGGCAGAGGAGGGATAGGCAGGGCTGGCAGGCAGAGGGGAAAGGGGGCCAGGCAGCCTGGGGTCAGCTGTCCAGACACAGAGGAAGCAGGAAGCAGGATGGACAGTACACAGACGAGGGAAACGAGCCTTGGGGAAGCACACAGATGAACTGAAATGGGTTAAGTTAAAAAAAAAAAAAAAAAGCTAGCTAGAAACAAGTCGAAGCTAAGGCCGAGCATGCAGCGTTCATAATACGTCTCCTGTCATGGTTTAGGGGCTGGTGGTCCAAGAGAGCCTGCTACACACGCACATACACATGCACTCACACACATGCTCACTCACACATGCTCACTCACACACACACACGCACCACACACACACACACACATGCACTCACACACGTGCACGCACACCTCACACACACACACACACACTCACATACATGCTCACACACACATGCACACACACACAAACACACACACATGAACTCACAACTAAGTAGGACCCAGATGCGGGCAGCCCATAACTGTCCTGCAGAAACATGGAAAGGCTGACACCAACTCTACCGCAGTCATAAATGTCTATAAGACCCCCCCATGCACACATCTTAAAGCCACTACGTACATCTCAGTCTTTCTCTCTCTCCCTCCCTGCTCAGTTTTTTCCCAAGCCACAGTTATGAGGCTTAAGTCACAAAGTTTACTGTGTAGGCTTTTACCTTAGTGTTTGAAGTGATTTCCCAAAAAATTATTTCGTAAGTTAGTCCCTGACATTTGCTGCTGGAATTCTCCTGACAGCTCACGTGGACAAGCAGAGACTCCCCAGTGGTAGCAACGGCAATGGTCGGAGGAGGAATGGCAGCTGGGAAGATGTACAGGAAAACGAAGAATTAGACACCTGAGAACAATTCTTACAAACTTAAACTAAATGAGGAAATTACAGTCTCAAGTGAAAAAACTGAGGTAAGGCATGCATGAACCACACTGGTAACCTCAGCTCTCAGGAGCTCAGGCAGGAGAATTGCCATGAGTTTGAAGCCAGCCTGGGCTACACTGAGTCCCGGGCCAGCCTGGGCTACAGTGTCAGATGTCGTCTCAGAAAAACATGGCTTACTGTATTTTTGGGAATCAAATTCCTTTTCAGACCAGAAAGATGTGGTGTTTCCATCTGAGGCTTGTACCCGGAGAAAGAACTTTTCCACGTGGGTGGTGTTTTGAGGAAAAACACAGTGTGGAGTCTGGACATTTGCACAGGCAGACACTGGTCTCCATTTATCTGAATATCCTCTGCGAATACTTTTTAAAAAGCCACTTGAAAGAACAAAACAAAACAGAAGGTTAAAGTCAACACTTTATCATGAACTCAGTAAACACGTACTGAGTGAGGATTTACAATACGTCAGACACTGCAGTCAGCGCTATGGTCCCAGGGACAGCGTCCCTATTTAGGAAACTCATGGGACAATGGAGGAGATTGATCTCAACAAAGGAGAGCTGAGGATGCTCCAGAGTGTACGTGGACTTCTCAGTAATGTGCAAGCTGTTCCTCTGTGTGTGTGTGTGTGTGCGCATGTAAGTGCGTGTGTGTAGTACACATGTGTGTGTGTGTGTGGGGGGGGAACGTGTGTTTATGTAGGCCTTAAACTGACGCAGGGTGTCTTGGTTGCTCTCCATTTTTTTGAGGCAGGATATTTCACCCAGCTTGCAATGCACTGACCTGGAAGGTCCAGCTAGCCAGCTTGCCCCAGAACCCCGTCTGATTCCCAGGGGCTGCCACACCTGTACCTCAACTCTGGCTCATGCTTTCTCAGCTAAGCCATCGCTTCCAAGTACACGTACATGTCTTTTAAACAAATTATTATTAAAAGGCTGATATAAAATTCAGAAATAAAAACTTACTAAAAATATTCAAAGTATACCCTGTCTTATGTCCTGGCTAGTCTTATGTGAACTTGGTACAAGCTATAGTCAACAGCGAGAAGGGAATCTCAACTGAGCAGAGGCCTCCAGAATACATAGGCTGTAAGCAGGCAAGCCTGTAGGGCATCCTATTAGTTACTGATAGACGGGGGAGGGCCCAGCCCATTGTGGGTATGGACACCCCTGGATGGTGGTCATGGGTTTGATAGGAAAGCCCCGAGGACCAAGCCAGTAAGCAGCACCTCTCCATGGCCTCGGCATCAGCTCCTCCTCCAGGCTCCTGCCCTGACTTCCCTCATGGTGGACTATGATACGGAGTGCGAGCCAAGTCAACCCTTTCCTTCTCCAACTTCTTTTGCTCACAGTGATGCATCACATGCACAGTGATGCATACTATAAGTCACAGTGATGCATCACAATAGGAACCATAAGTAAGAGAGCCCAGTTATCTTTTCTTGAAGCTATTTCTGACTCTCACATGCTAAACCACATTACTTAGCCATGCATGTGCATGCGTGTCTTCCCAGATCCACATTCAAAGACTTCAAGCTGGTAGCTTCAAAGTGGCCATTATGGGAACATTCCTGTCACAAAGTCCTGCCAACTATAAATAGGGCCCCTCCCTTCTGGACAACACCCTGGCAAAAGTGCCACAACTTTTCCAAGGCGTCCCTTACAGAGCACATCCCACCAAGGGGGAGTCCCTCCCTGAGGCTGGAGAGGAGAATCTACTGGCCGAGACTGGAGCTCGAAGCATCTCAACTGAAGGCCAGAACTGCAAACCTCCTAGGTGGCTTCCTCAGGCATTCTGCCACCTGAGCACAGGGCCCCACATAGAATACGACCACATATAGCCAAACAGACCCCAGGCCACCTTCCCTCCCTGCACAAAATTGCCAATGGCCCAAAGATGTCTGAGACAGGCAGCCAGTGCCAAGTCTAGTCCCACACAACTTTTTGTTTTCTTAAGTCACTTCTCTTTGTCCAACTGTCTGTCCTGCTCTTCTAGGACACCCTCAAGGCTTCTGCCCCCCGTACCACACACTTCCTACAATCCCTTCACAGTGTGAGCAAGAGCTGAAAAGATGGTGGCTGCTTCGCTTTCCTGTCAGATTACACTGTTTGACAGGAGGAGGGCTTTTGAAGATTTAGCTAAATGATCCAATCTGCTATTCTGAGTTAATGGAATGAAACATCTCCTTGGTGGACATGACCTTTAAGGTGAACTCTTCACACAGGTGTAAAGGTCACAGTCCCCTCCTAAGGGCCTCTGAGATGTGGCCTTGAGTCCTACAGTTTCAAGACAGAGCTTCTGTCCACAGCCACAAGAGCAAGGCGAGTTTCGGATGAAGCCACCCTCCTTGGCGACATTACTTCTCTTTCCTTTGTGTGTGAGCCGGCGAGTGCACACCCGTGGATGAGTATGGTGTGTGCATCTGTATATGGGCTGGGATGTGTACAGGGGCCAGGCCTGGCCACCGGGTGTCCTGCTCTATCACAGGCCACCACTTCCCCTGAGACAGGGAACCTACAAGACGACTCACGGCTTCCCAGCGCACCTCACCCACTCTCAGTCAGTCCCTCTGTGTGCGGTCAGTGGCACACAGAGGCAGCGTGAACGGACATCAAAGCACATTAGTAAAGAACGGGTAGAAAAGGGACTCACGGGAGCCACTGTGCTCTGAAGCTCACGTTTGGAGACGCATAGTCCCATCTGAGAACATAGTTGTCACCCTGGGTGTCCAATTCTATGTTTTCTGGAACAGGCAATCTATTTGTCTCTAGAAGTCAAAGAATCCATTAAACATACATATTTTATAACACTTTTTTTTAAAAAAAATTATGTTCTGCCTGCATGTAAGTATGTACACCAGAAGAGGGCACCAGATCTCACTACAGATGGTTGTGAGCTACCACGTGATTGCTGGGAATTGAACTCAGGAACTCTGGAAGAGCAGCCAGTGCTCTTAACCTCTGAGCCCTCTCTTCAGCCTTTAAACTAGTGAGACAGAACTGTATTTATCCTGTCTGATCTTAAGAGACAAAACATACTAAATTTACAGTTAAAACCACGAACAAGCCCAGTTCCTACCCCTGACCTTAGTTACTGGTAAGCTTGGCAGAGATAAGCACTTCGGACATTTCATCTGTAGAGGCATGCTTCGGACACCAGCTACTCTGCTAGCAACTACATGAGGGACTGCAGGCAAGTAAAAAGCATTTATGATACTATAAAATTTGAACTTTTAAGTAGAATTAATTTTTATTATTATTGAGACAAAAATTACTAAAGTAAATGACTTGATTCTGTAAGTGCTATTATCCTCCCTTCCTTTTGTGTGTGCGTGTGCTAGACAAGTGTTCAATCACACACCACTACCCAATGCTCTGTTTTAATAATTATTAAACCTTCATTAAATTCCATCATGTAACATGTGCAAATTCCATGCTGTCCATAGTCTGTTCCTGACCTGAGATCAAGAGCTCTCGCTTACCTGTGGTGTTTATACACTGCACCTTGCTGAAGTTGCTCTGCTTCCTGAGGTCCTGATGTATCGCTTCAACTTTTAAACAGTAAGTAGTCTCTGGTAACAGTTCTAAAATTTTTTCTATGCAACAATTGGTTGTAACATTTTGCTACAAAAAAGATAAAAAATAAAGAGTCAAATTTTAGAATTCACTCACCGCCTTCTCTCTCACATGCAATCGGGGTCAGAAGAGACACTTACAGTCACACCTGAAGACTTCTGCCAGAACACTATCTGGTACTTGAAGTCGAAACTATCACCTCCCCACATCTTCCCACCTTCTCCGGGTTGAGAGATGTGGACTAATATAGCTTTGTCTTCAGCTTCCAAATGTACTCCTGGGGGGCCAATGTGAGCTGTTGACAGCAGAGAACAATTACAGAACTTCAGGGAGACCCCTCTAAAATGTGCCTGGAGCGGTAAGACAGAGGAAAGCCTTCATGGGTCTGACACTTTGGGAGGTCACGGCACAAACAACCCTAAACCAAGGTCTGCACGCAGGCACTGCTGACAAACATGTGAAGAGCGGGAAGGGCACAAATAGGGAAGCCAGCCATTCTGAAACCTCCGAGCAGAAGCCAGAACAAAGCACCGAGCTGTACAGATGGCAGAACAGCAACCCAGGTCCTGGGGACCACATGTGAACTCTCTAAGATGGGACAGTGAAGGGCACAGAGTGCGTGAGAGGGCTCAGGAGGAGTCAGAAATGTGGTTGGAGGCCACACAGAAGGAAGTGGTAACAATTTAAGAAGACACTGGGGGGCTGAGGATGGCCAAGAGCCAAATCCCACTCAGGTTTTGGAATGATCAGCCTGGCCAAGGGATAGGACGCAGCGAGGTCAAAAAAAATCAAGAGAAGACGACAAGGGCCTCAGTAAAAAGGGACGTTTCAGACATCCTCACGTGACACTTGTGAGGTATAAAATGTAAGAAAGGACCAAAATGAATGTAGGGTCAAGCAAATTACAGCCGATGTCATTCCCTGAGATGGCAAGGGCTGCAGGAAGGGCTATGAGCGAGACTGAGAGCTTTGCTTGACCATTTTCACTGTGAGATGGCTTTGCCATCTCGGCAGACACTGAATGGAGAAGGGGACACCAGTCTAATGCTCAGAGGGAACATGGGGCAGGGAATGGAATGCTGGGAGTCAAAAGCAGATTCAATGACTTAGGCTGGCTGAAGCCCAAGCTTGACATGTCCTAGAGAGAACAACAGGAAAAGAAAGAGAAAGCTGAGTGACCAGGAGACTCAGGAGTGAGCAGTTCCCGGGGGAGCCGGGAGAGAGCTTCGAGGGAGTGGAGTCCCGTGCACGCTGTGCTCAGACGCACCAGCCTGAGGATCGGGGATACACCCGTGAGAAGAGGTGGCCGCTGCCGTCTGCAGAGGTGACAACATGTGAGAAGCAAGGAAGTGAATGGACAGTGATGAGAAGGAATAGGAGGGTATGACAGTGGGCACAGGACAGGCCTGAAGACGGAGACAGGACAGTGTGTCTCGAGTTCTGGTCTCCAGATCTCTGTGCTGCCATAGAAACCACGGCAGCTGTTGAAGATCTGTTTACACTCAGCATACTGCCCATGAGAGTAGACAAAACTACAAAATGTGGATTCACAAAGATGATAAAATTATCAGACACATTGTTACAAAAGTAATTTCCAAAAACAAGAACTTTAAGGCGTGATTTTTAAAAACCTACATTAAAAACATCTCATTACCCTGTGAACTAACCAACACAGACCCACATCGGCAGCCAGTAAGTTCATGCCGTGTGTCTAGCTAGCATCCTTTCAAAATTCTCTTTATACAGACAATCAAATATCAAAATAAATGAGGCAATAAAATCTCCGGATTACTAGGGAGTGTTGACTTTAGGAACTCCTAAAAGGCTCTTGGTGACCACACCCAGAGAGCCACTAACACCAGGAAAAACGGATCTTAGCGGGAAGGAGCGGCACCAGGCGGAGAACTTCTCTGGTGACATTTGCTAGGGAACAATGAGGCAGCCAGCGATGCTTTCTCACCTTTATTATGTGGAATGAACGGCTCAATCTCATTCCATGAAGAAGTGCGCTTTCCTTTCTCAGCTCTTACACGAACCTTCATGTTGACAAAAACATCTGCATTCAGTAAAGAGAACTGGCACGTGGTCCCCGTAATATGCAGACACGCGGGCGGTTTGAACCAGTTCTCCATCTCTTCTCTTTTAATTGAGAAAAAAGACGGAATGAGCTCATGTCCACACAGAAGTTGCAGAGACATGTCGTGGTTAGCTTAAGAACTTACTTCCCATGCTGAGCATCACCACGTGCCAAGTATGTGAGCGGAAGGGCAGGGTCAGAAACAATACCAACAAATTAACAACAGCTGTAGAAAAAGGTCATGGGCAAAGTGCAGGCAATTCACGGCACACGTGCGCCCAGGAGGTGCCCAAGGACAAGCCCGTTAAGAAGTTTGTCATTTGGAACAGCAGAGGCTGCTGCCGTCAGAGACGTTTCTAAAGCGGACGCCTTCAAAGGCCATGTGCTTTCCAAGCCTCCCAAGCTGTGGTACTACGTGAGCTGTGCCATAGAGCGAGGCAGTCGGATCTACTTGGGAAGCCTGGACACAGGCCTCTCGGTGCTGCCCTATGACCTCCACCAAAGTCCACCAAAGAGGTGGCTTCATAACGACAGAAGAAAACATCTGGGAAAAATAAAATGGAAATTATACTTAAGACAATATTTCCTTTGAGATAATGTCCTGTTAACATTTACCTGGCTACCCTTTGATACCTTTCTGATACATATGAGCTATGTCACTACTTGGAATAAGTCAGATATTTAATTAATTTTTGTTATTGCTGTTTTTTTGTTTTTTTGATACAGGTTTCTCTGTGTAGCTCTGGCTGTCCTGGAACTCACTCAGTAGACCAGGCTGGCCTCAAACCTGGAGATCCCTCTGCCTCTGCCTCCAGAACGCCACCATCACCTGGCCATTTGGTCAATTTTTAACAGGGTTTTCACATCAATTCTCTGAGTGGTTACATTAGCATTTCAAGGAACCAGAAACAAATAATCCATAAGACAGAGCAGATGTGGCCAGCCGAGGAGCTCTGTGACTTCTGGATCTGTGTCTCTGGACTCCAATTTCCTTATGGAAGATTGGGAATTGGTCTGATGATTGATGTGGGATTCCCTTTCGTATGCTATGACTATGTTTTATTACTATTGGTTAATAAAAAAGCTGTTTTGGCCAATGGCTTAGCAGAAATAAAGCCAGGAGGAAAATCCAAACAGAGATATATAGAGAGAGTAGGCAGAGTCAAGCAGATGCCAGGTAGTCACCGAGGAAACAAGACATGTAGAAAATGAGGTAACGCCATGGCCACGTGGCAATACACAGACTAATAGAAATGGGTTAATTTAAGATGCAAGAGCAAGCTAGAATATGCCTGAGCCACTGGCCAAGCAGTGTTGCAAGTAATATCGTTTCTGTGTGATTATTCGGGTCTGGGTGTCTGGGAGAAGTGTGGTCCTCCCTTTACAGACGATGACCCTCTACAAATAGACTGCCTATCCAAGGATAGACCTCAGTACTGTGTGGCGTGAGTTTCCTTGGCCCAATCCCAAACCAATCACTGTTTCCTAGGGTCTTTAATTCTTCAAAGATTTCTTCTAGAATTATGTACACATGTGTCTATGTGTGGGCATGTGTATGTTAGTTTGGGTCCCTGTGGGGAACAGCTAGAGCTGGGGTTCCAGGTGTTGTGAGCTGTCTGCCCTGTGCTGAGCACCTGAGTTGGGTCCTCTGCAAGGCCAGACAGCTGCCAAGCCCTCTCTAATTCTATTACAACACCAGAAACAAAACCTTGGTATGTCAATGTAAACAAATGGATTCCAGCAGAAATGCCCAATCAGAAAACTTTAGGTGACTTGTATTAATAGTCTTAAAATGGGGCATGGCTGGGAACAGTGATCCATGTTTAGAATCCTAGCACTGGGAAGGCTCAGACAGGGGGATTGAACCTTTGATGCCAGCCTGGGCTACACAGTAAGTTTGAAATAATTCTAGGCTATATAGTAAGACTCCACAAATAAACATCTAAACAAACAAACAAACAAAAATAAGAAAAATTAAATAATAAAAAATGTGGTGAGGGTGTTGCTCAGTGGTCAGTGCTGGCCTAGCGTGTGCGACACCTTGAGCTTAGCATGATGACAATGACTGACTGTGTGACTATGAAACTCGCCCCACTGTCCTCTTCACCCACTGCGATTCCTTATCTGTGTCCTTCCGTGTTCCTGGAGACGGAGCTCATCTGTCAGTGGGTGGCTACTGCATTCAAGGGTAAGGAGGCCAGGACAGTGGGCACAGACGACCGTGAACTGGGTCTGGGATAATAGTGTTTGTGTGAGACTATGGCCGTCTGCTCTTTCTTATGGGTAACTTTAAAGGCATCTGGAAAGATCCCCACTATACCTAAGCCAGCAGCTGGTGAAGAACCCAACCTAAGGCAAAGAACAAATGGCATCAAAACTCAAAACGGAATGTACGGAAAACCCGCTCAAGATACAAAGTGCCTGTGCACACAGACACAGTCAGGAATCTCTGGGTCACTCTGTCTTAGTAACATGTGGAAACACAGTGCAGTGGTGGGGAAAGCACTGGGGTCCTGACACCTTCCTTCACTGCTGACTCCATCCTACACAGGGACAGAGGGGTGTAGTCGGGGAACCCACACAGAGCAGGAGATGGAGGATGGGCCCTCCTGTAAGCCTGCCTTAGAGGCCCTAGAGGCCCTCTGCTGATCGCCCTGGCAATGGGAGGCAGAAAGTCAGTGCTGAGAAAGAGGCACTGACGAAGGCATTCAGTCTATGGAAATGCAGGGTCTGAAACACTCATGAATATGAACCGTGTCTAAGAGGAAAATCTAGGGCTGGAGAGACGGCTCAGTGGGTACCAGCACTTACTGCTCTTGCAGAGGACCTGGTAGATCCCCAGCACACATGTGGTTCACAACCTTCCCTAACTACAGTTCCTGGGAGTCCAGTGCCCTCTTCTGGCCTCCACAGGTACCAGGCATGCCCATGGTGTATATATATACACACACACACAGGCAAAATAGTCATGCACATAAATTAGCCTAATTTTTAAAAAGTGAAACCTTTGTGTATGATGGGAATGAAAGGAAAACTGACTGCAGAAGGCTGTGAGGGGCTATTCTAGGACCCAGCATGCCTTCCGGGGTCTCTGCACATGTCAAGACAGTTCAGACACCATAAAACATTTAATGAATATGTGACATCCATGCAGAGAAGAGATGGGAGAAGCTGTGTACTACTCTCAACCATAGACCTCAAGAAACGTCGTCTTTATTTTGTATACGCGTCCGTGCATGAGTGTGCATGTGTCTGTGCAAACACACCACGGCACAGGAGTGGGGGTCAGAGGACAACTTGCAGGAACTGGTTCTTTCCTTCCATGCAGGTCCTGGAAATCCACTTGGTCTATCAAGCTTGGCGGCATGCACTTCTGCCCGCTGAGCCACCTCACCAGCCCTTCAGCTCAGCGTCCACTGAGACAGCCACAAATGTGACGGGAAGTAGAATCTCTTATGATGGAAATTAATGCTTCCCACATTAAAAAGAAATCATGGAGCCAGGCGGTGGTGGCGCACGCCTTTAATCCCAGCACTCAGGAGAGAGGCAGGCAGATCTCTGTGAGTTTGAGGCCAGCCTGGTCTACAGAGAGAGATCCAGGACAGACTCCAAAGCTACAGAGAAACCCTGTCTCAAAAAACAAACAAAACAAAATAAAACACAACAACAAAATAATTAGAAAAATGCCCCGTATCATTGCAGCGGGCCAGTTAGTCACCTACGTTTGATATTCTGCTGAAAAAGTCACATTGTTCACTGACTCTTCATTGCTGCTCCACTTTAGGGTAAAGCTGTCATCTATAATATAGACATCTATATCCCCAGGAGGTTCCAGATCTTCTCCACCTATAAAGCCAACAAACAACAAAATGATTATTTATAGGCTATAAAAATTTTATAAATTGTTATTCACATCAATAACACGACTGAATGCATTCATTTCAATTTTTGTTTTTAGCTATGATGTCTAAGAACCACCAGCACACCAGCATGTATACTAACCCTCTGGTGCAATAGGGGCACACACACATTGGCGGTCACCAATGGCTCACCAATTGAACTTCAGATCTGCTTAACAAGACAGAAATCCTTCCTGGCACTGAAAACTTTGTCAACTGCCCAGGCCTAGTGAAGTCACGGATCTTGGCAGAGAACCTACAAATGTCACTCTACTAACACCATCATAATTCCTAACTCTGTTTTAAATGTTTGTCCTTACACTCCCAGGGAAGTGTAGTTCTCTGTGCAACAGAGGGAGAGCATAACAGAAAAATACAACTGATCAAAATGCAAAGTCGTGGAGCATAAGTCCCAGTTGTACACAAGGCTCAGGGACCGCTGGGGGAGAGGGAGCGTTATGAGCCAGGAAAACAGGGAATCGATCGTGTCTCCTAGAAATGCCAGAGGCTACATCCATGACGGCTCCCAACATGACTGCCTAACATGACCTAAATGAGCACATCACCATCAGACATGCTAATGTGGAAGGGAAAAGCTCAGGCAGGAGGCCTCCGTCTTAGAGAAACAAAACGAAGAGTACGGGCAACTGGGAATGCAGTGAGCAGGAGAAATATAGTCTGTCAGAAAAAGCACGTCAATCATTTGATTTGGGTGTCCAGTATCAAATGGTCAGCCTGAAAACACATACACAGGTAACATTATACAGATTAAGAAGGTTGTTAATTACACATTTAGGAATACGTACGAACACACACAAAGTTGCAGGAAAAGAGATCATGAATTTGAAAGAGTGAGGAGCTGGGAGTGGTGGTACGTGGGAGGGTATGGAAGGAGAAGAGGGATGGGGGGGATGACGGAACTGTATTTTAATCAGGAAATATCAAAAATATTTTAAAATTTTAAATTCGATTTATGTATGCTATTTTACATGAGAATATTTGGCTCACATGTACATATGTATTCCATGTAGGCTTGAAGGGGGAATCAGATCTCCTGGAACTGGAGCTACAGATGGTTGTGAATCACCAAGTAGGTGCTGGGAATTGAACCCAGGTCCTTTGCAAGTGCAGTTAGGTAATGAAAGACTAAGCCATCTCTCCAGCCCCAGGACAGAATTGACTCACACACAGTAATCTCCGCTGATGCGTGGGAGCTGTAGCCCAAGCCCAGCGGATGCCTCACACTGCAGTTAGAACCAGCTCTATCCAGATTCTTTCCTGCAGAAGTATCTACACAGTTAGGATAAAGTTAGATAATAAAAATAGATACGGTACAGAATGATTACAGTGGGGTTGAGGACCGGTCATTATGAGGTAAATAAGAGAGTCCCTTGACACAGTCTCTGTACTGCTTCACTGATTATTAGACATCCCGGACAAAGGGAAGATCTCCACCCTAGGAAGGAGAGATTTTGTTTACATTTTAAACATGAGGTATGCATACCTTTATAATTGCTGCATCAAACTATTAATATACAATGCGTTGTCTCTTACAGCTTTATTTGTGTGAATTAGAAACTTCCAAAGAAACTCTATGACAAAGGACCAGATTTAGAGTGCATCTCCCCGCCCCCCACCAAGGAGTTAAGGCACAGGCCCATCTGCCACCCCAGGCACTGGGAGGTTGGGATAATGGCTGCTCCGGAACCTTTGGAAACAAGCATCACTGCAGACCTAACACATGCAGGAATAGTAGGTACAAGAGTAGACCTCTGATCTAGACACTCTTCTAAGGACAAAGTAGGTATCATTTCCTTCTGGCGGCTAGAGCCCCTCACTCCTTTAACTTGTCTATGTGATTCCCCCATCCTCAGAGTCACTGAATGTTCTAGGATTGTTTGCTCTGTGGGTACAGAAAAAAAAAAAAAAAAAGATGATGTAACCCTTGAATATGTCTTCCTGGGTTTTGGTCACTCATATTTGTTTCAGAATAAAGTATTTCGTTTCCCTTCAAAGCAGAGTCCCTCTTTTGGGTCGATGACTTCAGGTCCTTCTGTCTGTGACTGGCACAGCCACCTGCTCATCAAGTCACCCCGGGAGACGCAGGCATGCCTTCAGCACACTCTAGAGAGTTCCAGAAGAGTGCCGATAGCAGCTCAAGTGCTGTCTAGGTGGAGACTGACTCGCGCTGCCCACTCCATCACTTTTCTAGAGTCCTTAAAAAGACATGTTTTTAAAATAAGCTTGTGTGTGTGTCTGTGTGGGTAGGAGCACTCGAGCAGGTGCTGCCCTGGGCGGACGATCGTGCTGGCGTGTCCTGGAGACGGAGCCGACTGTGGGCCATTTCTCCAGTCCTGATGTGCTAATTTTTTTTTAAGATTTACTTTATGAGTGCTTTTCCTGCATACATGCTTATTGAGTCCCCTGGAACCGGAGTTAGGGAACGATGTGAGTCACCAGCTGCGTGTTGGGAACCAGACCCAGGTCCCGCCACCCGAGCATGAAGTGCTCTTACCCCCACCCCCATCTCTCCAGTTCCTAGGCTGTAATTTTTAAAAAGAATCTTTTCATATCTGGCTGCGCTGTTATTTCCCGTTTTGAAAACTTCTGCCTCAAGGCTATCATGTCCTATCCTGACACGCTTCTACCCCACAAGTTTACAGATTACAGTTAGATTACATGAGGAGATTCCGGAGAAAACATTTTCTGATTCTTTTTTCTTTTTACCTGTCGGGGGAGGTATCTATCAAGTCTCTCCACTCTCGGTATTTACTTTCTCAGTGTTGTGGACTGGTATATGCTAGGAACTCCATTCCAGGACACCATCAGAGCCTTTGACCTTCATCCCTAACCCGCATCTATCCTGCTGGCCTTATCTTCACTTGAGCCCCATCCCATTTGATGGAATTTACAGATTCTGTGCAGGACGGGCGGTAACTGGGCATATAAGATTAACAAAGGATCCAACAGCATTTGCAGCAGTTATAGTATTCTGTTCATAACATTCTTTTTCAAATTTATATGTAGGAGTACTTTGCCTGTATGCACACCATGTCCTTGTCTGGTCAGAAAAGGCATCAGGTCTACCTAGACCTGGAGTTACAAGTGCTTGGATGCTACCACGTGGGTGCTGGGAACTGAACCTGGGTCCTCTGAAAGAGCAGCCAATATTCTAAACTGCTGAGCCATCTCTCTAGACTCCAGTTCATAATATTTTAATCAAAATGAATGTAAGCCCAAGAGGAAGTGGAGATCTGATGAGGTACAGCCAGGAGGATGCATCTTTCTAGCACTCACAGAAGGAGCCCAAGGGTAAAGGTATTTTGGTACTTGGGTGACCAACTCCTAAGTGAATGGATGGTGTAGGAACTCAGCAGTCACTGAACCGGGCGGATATGGTGAACAGCTGTGGTTTCAGAAGTACCGTGACCTTGCGGAATCCTGGTGGAAAACAGAGCTTGTTTTACTGAAGAGGCATTGCAGCCACCCCATGACTTTGGTCACAAGACACCTCCGGCACACCTGAGGCTCTTGCATTATTGTATATTGCAAACGATATATAAGAAAGGACTAGAGTCCTGGGGGCATGCAATGCTCTCCTTTAGGAAGACGCTAAAATTAGATGTGGGACCTTGGTATGATGAAATACTTTGTGTAACAATCAATAAACATGCCTTCCTACAGCTGTTAGGGATTCAGCCCATCAGAAGAGGCCTCAACATTCCATCTTGGAGTGCCTTTCTTCTGCTGACCTGTGCTGTATGGTACGCCCCAACAAACAGATTTGGAAATGAGAGTTAACTGGATTCTGTTCTCACAGATTTTTTTGGTGTCGTTAAAAATAGTCTAGCCTCCCCTCAGCATGGAGCATACCATTTCTTAATTTGTGTATGTGCCTGTGTGCAGGCACGTTCACGCCAGAGGCGAGCATGTGGAGGTCTGAGGTCTGAGGTCTCTCTCCCTCTCTCTCTCTCTCTGTCTCTATCCCATGTGGGTAGGGCCTGAACTCAGGTCCTCAGGCTTGGGGGCAGGTGCCTTTTCCTGCTTAGCCATATTGTTGGTCCAGCATGTAACATTTATACAGAAGCATTCATTTACTTATAATTTCAGTTGTCTCCACCCTTTGATGTTCATCTCGAAGGCCAGTAGGGTGTACTATTTTCTGAAGTGTGATGTAACTATAAAGACATACAGCCATACAATTATATACTAAGATTTCATTAACAAGTTGAACAATTTTCTTGGTCTAAAGTCCGAGATGGCCCTTAACTAGGATACAAAGCATGATTTAATTTAATTAATTTTTTTTGACATTTGGTCTAAGGACCAACATTACAATCTCAAATTTAGAGTAATAATTCACTTATTTTCTGACATTATTATCCCTTTAGGGGGAAGAGAGGATTACCAGAAAGAGAACTAGGAAGGAAACCTTTAACATGTAAATGAATAGTCAACTATTTTATTTGAAATATTTTAAGAAAATAGCTCTGGTTGGGTGTGGTAGTGCACATTTTTAATCCCTGTACTCTAGATCTAGAGGCAGAGGTAGGTTGGTCTCTATGAGTTCCAGTTCTGCCAGGGCCATACAGTGAGACCCATCTCAGAACAACCCAGCTCTGGCGTGGCGTGGTAGCACATGCCAGTATCCCAGTCCTCAAGCAGCCGAGGCAAGAGCGTTCAGGTTCAAAACCAGCCAGGCTACACAGTGAGAACCTATTTTAATAAACCAAAACACAAGAGTGCGGGGAAACGGCTCAGCTGACAAACGTGCTGGCTGCGCAAGCAAGAGCGTGGTGAGAATTTATTTGCGATCTAACAAATAAAGCTTGCCTGAAGATCAGAGCGAGCCACTAGTGAGCTATAGAGGCAAGGCACTGGTGGCACACAGTTTTAATCCCAGCACTCAGGAGGCAGAGACAGAGGGATCTCTGAGAGTTCAAGGCCATTCTGGACGACACAAGGTCAGTCTAAAAGAGAATCAGAGCCAGGCTGTGATGGCTCACACCTTTCATTCCAGTACTTGGGAGACACACGACTCTATTACCAGCTCTAGGGAGGTGGAGACAGACAGGGAATGGCTGGGCAGAGAGGGGGATATAAGGCGGGAGGAGACAGGAATTCACAGCATTCAGTCTGAGGACTTGTAGAGAGATGGGATACCCATTTCTGTCTGAGCATTGGTAGAGGTAAGACCTAGTGGCTGGCTGCTCAGGTTCTCTGATCTTTCATCTTTCACCCCCTAATATCCGACTCCAGGTTTTTATTATAAAGACCAATTAGAATTCGCGCTACACACAAGGACCTGAGTTAGCCTCCAGCTGGGTGTGGCAGCACACACCAGTCATCCCAGGGCCCAGCTGATGACAGCAGGAGGGTGCTTGGTGCTTGATGAGTGGCCAATATATTATCCAGCTCCACGTTCAGAGACCCTGTCCAGATAAGGTGGACAGCACCAGAGCACGGCACCTGACAGTGACCTCTGACCTCCCGTTTCAGGAGCACATAGCAGCACACTGTGCACACATGTACACATCAAAACAATAGCCCAGCGTAGTTAAGCCACAAGGCTCCCAGGAAACGACTCACAAGGTACGATTTTCGATTCAGTCAGTAACTGGTCCACAGTGTTAGGCGAGCTAGTTAATGTTAGGCGAGCTAGTTAATGTCTCAGTGCCTCAGTTTCCTCATCTGTGGAATGGCAGCACTGAAAGTTTAGTTTACCCCTTTAAAACACTTACTGGCGAGTCCAGGAAATGCTCCTTTAAATTATGCTTTAGTAACTAGTCCAGTTTGAGGTCAGTTCTTCTGAGGCACATTCTCACCCTTATCCTCTCACCTCAAACCCCCGCCTCACCTCAGTCTCTCCAGCGCTGGGACAACTGGCTAAAATTAATTTTTTAATGTACACCCCCCTCAATGTCCATTTTACATGAAAATAGGGAGGGGTTCCCTTTTATACTGAAGTAAACACGATCGTGAAGCTTTCCAAGACCAAGGGCTTCAAAACAATCACCTGGGGCTGCATCGGGCCACTTGCACGAATTTCCAGGACTGGGTGCTAGCTGCAGGATGAGACTTGGGGTGTGCCTTACCTCCCAGGTGTACCGATTTTTAAGAGGAATCGGGACTTAATAGCAGCCTCACAAACCCCCAGGAGTCCTGGCTGGCATACCGGGCTCTCTTCCTCAGGTTGCTTAGGCCACTATGAAAAGATCGCTCTTGTCTATCCCGCACAGAGAAGTCAACGCTCTCATGATGCAACAAACTAGCCCGGCGGTTTCCTGGCTTGCTTGTTATTGTTTTGGTAGCTTGCTGCAACCTCAGCCCGTTAAGGTGACCCTCATCTCACTCATTGCTGCGGCCGGGACAAACCGCGCGAGGCTGGGAGATCGAGTTTCTGCGGCTGTCTGATCTCCCACCGCCATCCGGCCCCAGGTTTGGGCCCAGGACAGCGTCCCCAGGCTGAGCAGGGGCGCAGGCGCCGCTCCCGTCGGGAGGGTGACGGGGTCAGCGTGCGGGGACTCGGGTCACCCACGCCCAGCTAGCGGCCAAGGTCAGCCGCCCAGGGCTCTCCCTCCCAGCCGCCCGGCCCTCGTCCAGGCCCCTCGGCTCACCTGCGGCTGCAGTCACCACCCAAGGCACCCAGGCCACCAGCACCAGGGCCGCCGAGCCCAGGAGAGCGAGCATGGTGTCGGGAAGCCAGACCCGTGGCTAGCATCCCAGGCCTCCTCCAACGGCGCTGTGGAGCCGGAGAGGAGCCCAGAGCAGCGGGGCCCTCTCCGCGACGCCCCGCCTCTTCCGTGGAGCCCCGCCCCTCCGCGACGCCCCGCCCTCTCCGGGAGCAAGCCGCTTGGAAAGTCCCGGGCGGTCTAGCCTTCAACTCGTGACCTCTGATTGTAGACGACCCTGTCACGCCCAACTCCCACTTCCGTGGAGACCGACTACGATAATTATCTCAGGGGGAAAACGCGGGGTGCAGCCAGTACGCCTGCGCAGATCCTCCAGATAACACCCCCGACCCCCTCCACTCCCCACCCCCAGCTTCTCAGCTTCCTGTTTTTGCCCTGGGGTGGAGCTGGTGCGGAGGCTGTGAGGTGTTTTCTCATCCGGGGCTGGTGCGTGGGCTTGCAGCCTGGTATGGGCATCCCCGGACGCCCGGGATCTGAGGACCCTGGGAGCGGGAAGGCACGGACCACACATTTACTATCTCAACTACATACGATTTTTACACTTGATTCCTTGGTTGAAATCCCACTGCGATTGATTTCAATCCCACTTGATTGAAATCCATCATGCGATGGTTTGGTGGATTTTGAATTACACAGCATTTGAATCCTTTTCCTAAAAATAGTTTTTAGTTTGGTTTTTCGTGTATGAGTGTTTTGCCTGAGTGTATATATGTGCATGCCTGGTACCGCTGAAGGCCAGTAGAACGTGCCAGATACCCTGGCACCGGAGTTACCAATCTTAGGAGCTACCTTGTGTGTCCTGGGTCCTGGTATCCGAATTCCGGTACTCTACAGTGTGCTCTTAGACATCTCTCTAACCACTTAACTCTTTCCATAACTACCTCCTAAAGAGATTTTTATTTATTTGTTGTTTAAGTCATTTTTTAAAAGCATGCTTATCGTCAGCAATGATACAATATAGAATTATTACAGCGGGGAAAAAAAACAATCCCCAAATACCAAGAAATTTTCTGTGTTCTCATATTTCTGAGTATTCCCAGGTAGTTTCAGGGCTTTGAAAATAATGATACTTTAAATGTAGTTGGTACAAACTTTGCCTCTATAATCTGGATAGCTAGAATTCCTGTTCAAAGACTCAAGTACACTATATTCAGTAGTATTTAAAATTACATTCTAGAAGAATAGTCAATGAGGGGCTGGAGAGATGTCTCAGTGGTTGGGAGCACTGACTGCTCTTCCTGAGGACCCTTGTTCAATTCCCAGCACCCACATGGCAGCTTGCAGCTGTCGGTAACAGTTCCAGGGGATCTGACACCCTCAGGCAGATGCATACAGACAGACACCAATGCACATTAACAACAACAACAACAAAAATAGTCGATGAAAACATAATTTAAAATTTGGGTCTCACAGTAAGATCAACAGCCCTTCATAAAATCATATGTAGCCAATGCCCAACTAAAGACTTGTTACAAAGGGAATGTGTTAGACCTTGAGAGTCCATCCACAGGACTGACACAAAGTGCATGTGTGAACTCATAAGCCTGTTGGCTGTTGTAAACTACCTATTCTTGTTCTTCTGTAACATGTGATGCCCTCATGTACATGTTTACTTATACACATGGAGCCATAGGCTAGGACCCACAAACGAAGGAGAACATTTTCCTCTCAAGATGGTGGCCTTGCTTAATTATGTATTCTAAGACCATTCATTTGTGGAATATCATTTCAACTTGGCAAAGATGTGTTACCTCTGTTAATGCTGCAGAATATTACCTTAACCTTGTAAAGGTGTGTTACATTTGTTTATGCTGCAGAATATTACCTTAACCGTGTAAAAGTGTGTTACCTTTGTTTATGCTGCATTTGTTTAATGATGTAATTATGTGTGTTTCATTATGTAAAGATTTGTTACATTTGGTTCACCTTGCCCATGTAAGGCCCCCGATTGGTCTAATAAAAACTGAATGGCTTATAGCTAGGCAGGAGAGGGATAGGTGGGGCTGCCAGGGCAGAGAGAATAGATAGAAGGAGAGAAAGCAGCAGAGAGGAGAGACCAGGGGAGACAAAGGGAGTCCCTGGGGCCAGAAACCAGGCCAGCCAGGTCTGGTTGGTAGCCAGAAAGAAAAATCCTGGTACACAATAGCTTTTTTTTTTTCCAGCAGGAAAGTAAGGTTAAAAGAAAAAAGTAAAACAAAACAAAACAAAAAAAACCCAAGGCAAAACAGAGATAAAGAGGAACAGATTAAAGTAAGAGCTAAGATAAGGCTGAGCATTCGTAACTGATTTTAAGTCTCGCGTCCTGATTTCAGAGCTGGTTGGTAGCCAGAAAGAAAAATACTGGTACACAATAGTTTTTTTTTTTCTGACAAATTTTGTGATTTTTTTTCCTTTGAAGCTGAATAGTTTTTCATTTCTTATATGTACCGGATTCTCAGGATCCACTCATCTGCTGATGGACAAGTAGGCTGGATCGGTTTCCTTCCTATAGTGACAAAGCGGCAATCAACAGGAGGGTGCAGGTATCTCTGTGATGGGGTGTGGAGAGTGCACAAGAGGAAAATAGCTGGCTCATGTGGTAGTTCTGGTTTGAGGAACCCCAGAATGGTTTCCACAGTGATTATTGATTTGCATCCATCAGCAGTGAGTAATAGTTTCTTTTTTCCCCACATTCTCTCCAACATTTGTCAAACTTCTTAATGACAGTCATTCTGACAGGCGGGGTGGCATCTCCAAGCAGGTTTTAATGTACATTTGCTGATGGCTCTGGAGATTGAATACTTTAAAAGTAGTTATTGGCCATGTATTCATGTTTTTGAAAACCGCATTCAACCCATTGGTCCATCTGGTGACTGGTAGTTTTATTTCCTTGGTCTTTAGCTTCTGTATCTCTTCGTGGGTTTCCGATATCAGAACCTTGTCTGAGGTATAACAGGTGAAGATTCCCCTATCCTGTGACCTGTGTGTTCCTCTGATGGACTCTGTGGATGAGCAGAAGCTCTTCAGTGTGTGACGTGCCATCGATTGATGCTGGGGATGAGTTCTCTCAGAAACTTCTTGCCTCCCCTGTGTGGTGCACAGGGTTCCCTATGTTTTTGTCTAGATGATTTAGGTTTTAAATTAAGGTCTTTCATCCATTTAGAACTGGCTTTTGTGAAAAACACGACTCTAGTTTCATTCTTCTGTGGGTGGACGTCCAGTTTTGCCAGCCTCATTTCTGGATGTTTTTCCCCTGCATGCCTCTTTTGTCAAGAGTTGGATGGACACAGCTTGGTCAGTTTCTCTCCAGGCCTGTGATCTGTTCATTGGTCTGTTTTTATGCCAGGCTGTCTTTACCTCTGTACCTCTAGAGTATAATTTGGAGGTGTGTATCGCGTTAGGACTGTTCTGACTGTTAGTCATTGCTTGTGGTTCCATATGAATCCCCGAATTATTTGTATTACATCTGTGAAATATGACATTGGAATTTTGATGCATATTGCATTAAATCTATAGATTAATTTTCACATGTCAGTTCTGCTGATTGGAGAGCCTGTCAGATCTTTCTATTGTTTAATATTTTCTTGGATTTCCATTTCAGTGTCTTGAGATTTTCATTGCAGAGGTGTTTCTTCTTTAGGTGTATCCCTGGGAACTTATTTTTTATTCATACAGCCTTAGGAACTTTTTGGGTGGGGTTGGGAATCTATTTGAATGAGATAGGACCCCTAACTTTTTCCTTGGTGACTATATTGTTGACATATATGAAAACTATCTATTTAAGTATTGATTGTATCCTGCAACTTTTCTGTGTTTATTAGCTCCACTTTTCTAGTAGCTTCTATAGCGGTTTTAAAGTACAGAATCATGTTATCTGCAAGTAGAGATCATGTGGCTTCTTGGTATTCCATTTTTTAGTCCCCCTATGACCTCCTCTTATTTAATTGCTATAGCCAAGACTATGAGCAGTACATCAAGCAAGAGAGGGGAGAGTAAGCATCCTTGTCTCATTACTGACTTTTGAAGAAATGCTCACTTTTCATCTCCATTTAATGTTGGCTATAGGTTGTATATATGTATCCTTCACTATTTTGAGGTATGTGCCATATGTTTCTAACGGTTCTAGGACTTTCTTTTCTTGTTTATCGAGACAGGATTTCTCTGTATAACAGTCGTAGCTGTCCTGGAGCTCACTCTTTAGACCAGGCTGGCCTCAAACTTGCAGAGATCCTCTTGCCTCTGCGTCCCCAGTACTGGAATTAAAGGTGTACGCCACCACTGCCCAGCTGTGTCCAGGACTTTTATCAAGAGGGCAAGTTCAACGTTGTCAAGTGCCTTTTGGGCATCAGTTGAGTTAGTTATGTGTTTTCTGTCCTCAAGTTTGTTTATATAGTGTATTATATTCATTGATTTGCATCTGTTGGACCAAGCTTGCCTTTCTTGGATGAAGCTCACTTGAATATAATATATATTCTTCTCAAAGTGTTCGTGAATTTGGTTTGCAAGTATTTTGCCAAAAAAGAAAAAAAATTTCATCTATACCCACAGTTTCTTTAGTCTGTAGTTTTCTTTGTTGTTTTTTTACGTGGTTTTTGTAGTTGGGCTTTCTTTGGACCTCCAGCTCTCATTTAATGACACCGAGACTTATTCATTATGGAAGCTCGGCTTTAGCTTAGGATTCTTCCCAACTGGCTCTTAAAATGTAAACTAACCTATTTATATCAATCTATATTCTGCCACATGGCTCATTACCTCTCCTCATTACTGTGTGTCCCACTTCCTCTGTATCTCACTGGTGAATCCCTGCTTCTCTGATTTCTCCCAGAGTTCCTATCTCTGTCTGGAAGTTCCGCCTATCCTCTCCTGCTTAGTTATTGGCCATTCAGATCTTTTTTAAACCAATCAGAAGGTGTCTTGGCAGAGACACATCTTCACAGTATACAAAAAGATTATCATGCAACAGATTTTGTTATTATATTAATACTGACTTCTTGGAATGAATTTGAAAGTGTTCCTTCACTTTTTATTTTGCGGAACAAACTAGGAAGTACTGAGATCTTTCTCGGAATTTGATAGCATCCCAGTAATCAATCTGAACCTAGGTTTTTCCTTGAATGGAGACTTT